TAGATAGATAGATAGATAGATAGATAGATAGATAGATAGATAGATAGATAGATAGATAGATAGATAGATAGATAGATAGATAGATAGATAGATAGATCTCAAAAGTTATTATTATTATTGTTGTTGTTGTTATTATTATTGTTATTATTGCCCATTTCTTTTTCTGTAACTAAAAAAGCTAAAGTGCAAGAGTGCAAATCGATCTAACATTTTAAAAGATAATAGTAAAATCTTAAATGTGAAGGGCTCATGAAGTTCAGCGGTAGGTTTGCATGAATTGTCAAAGAAAATCAAAGTAAACAGAATGAAAAGCAAATATATTTCAGTGTGTTTATTCCATATGTACATATTCCATATGTATGACTTTTTATATTTCACATTTTTCCCGAGTTTGTATTTAAAGATGGTTGTTAAATTAAAAATGAATGCTTAACTTTTACATTTAATAAAAGGTTCTTTAAAAAAAAACAACAACAACAACAAAAAACAAATACATTAATTTCTAGAAGCCTTGTTTTTTTAATAAGGAATATTACAAGGTCCCAAAGTGTGTCTGCATGGTGTATCTGCCCACCTAACGAGCTCCAATAAGCCACTAACAAAGGAAAGATAATGCAGATTGTGGAACAAAACTACACCAACGCCCCCGAGAAAACGGGGGAGAAATGAATATTTTACAACTTTTAACTGTATGAACATTTTCAATTTGTCATCTCTTTAGCCTTTTTTATATTTATTAAAGAATCAAATACGCAGTAAAGTGTTTTATAAATCAAAGTTCAGCTTTATGACAGTTGTCTTGACCGTATGTGGTGGAGCCCAAGCATTTAATCTGGAGGACTGTACGAGGAACCAGACACAAATGTCTTTGTGCTAGTGTAGGAAATGAGGAGCGCTGACTGTTGAAGGTCTCAGCCCACCCTCACCCCCACCTCCCTGCATATGGTAATACACTCTTATTAGTGGTCAGCATACCTCAGCATACCCGAAAATAGTTACAGTAATCAGCCTCTTAAAGCCATCTCCACGGTCCCAACAGTTTGGATCATTTTTACTTTTTTATTTCATTTTATTTTATCTTTTTATTCTTTAGGATATGCGATTATATATTTTAAACACATTTTGAATATTTTCGGTCATATTATTTTTTTTTTTATTATTATTATTATTATTATCATTATTATTATAAATAAGAGTTCTACACAGTAAAAATCGCAAATGCAGTCCAGGAAAACATGCAACATGTGTGTTTTGTCTGCTGTGGATCTGGCTCCGTTAGCAAGGCACTTCACAGCACTTGCACACACATTCAAGCGCACACACACTCCCTCACACGCCAGTGACGTCAGGATGGAGTTTGGAGTAGAAAGCCAAGTGGATGAAGGAAGTGGAGATCTCCACCCTCCAGCCTCCCCCTGACACTTCTCATAAATATTACCAAGGCTTATTCGGGAGGCTCCCACCATAAAGTCACATCGTGTCCTGGTTTTAACAAGTTTTCAACCGTAAGAAAATCGGAAATTTGCACCTTTTTTCCCTTCGCCACAGCGTTGGCAGTATCGGATGCGCTCCAGCCACCGTTTTTCCAACTCGAACTTTACGCACCGGCTACTGCGCCACTAGCTGGAGAGCTGCTGTTGCCGTTTACCGGCTGCTGCCCCGGGGATCCAGTCCTGGTTCTCCGGAATCTTCGGCGTCGAGGGCAAAGATCCCTGATAAAATGTATAATTAATGTTTTAATTTGTGGCTCTCGATCGATCGGAGGCTGACTTTCTGTCAACTTGGCTTCGGGACTTTGACTTGTGTTTCTCGTCACTGCTGGCAAAGAAACCGAGAAACCACAAGTGATTCAGTGTCACAAACTTCATTGTTTCTGTCCACAAGAAGAGGAGAAAGAGGACACTTTTTATCCAGATTCTTTAAAATATCGAGGATCCATGATGAGCAAACCAACCGGTTCAACAAGTGGCTGTTTGGATATTCTGAATGTCAAATCAAGTAAGTTTTGTTCATCATCATCCCCGATTCCTCTGAAGAACACGGCATAGATAATGGGAGGTCTACAGTAGCGACGGGTATAACAAATGAAAGTACAGTGAGTCCATGGTTTCTTTAAAGATGTTTCTCACGACTCTACCTCATGATCACAAAGATGTGAGTATGGGGACTGGCTGTCGGCCGTCTCAGAATGCAATACGTGAACATCCCCGGATAACAAAGCTCCTGAATGAAAGGAAATCATGTGTAAAATATATTTTGTAATGTTGCTTACAGATTTCGAGAAACAAAATAGGAAGGAAGCGAAAATAATAAGCCACATTCATTTGCCGACCGCTGCTCTTCAAAAGCCCCACATGCTTCCCTTTGATGACACTTGTTGCCTGCAATTTAATTTTCAGCCTTTAAAAAGAGTAACAGCGCAATATGCAGGGTATCATTCAATCTTACATGAAGAAAAATCCCGTTTGCGCACGAGATTTTCTTTTTTTTTTATGTCTGAAATGTGTTTGCGCATTTCTGAATCCCTCATTTGAGTTTCCTGAAGCGCTTTAAATCATGTTACTGACTTTTTTAAAATAGTAATAAATTTCAAGCAGATTTACACTTTCCTATCAAATTATTTTCTGATCCTTTTTTTCTTAACCCTTGCAATTATCCCTCTGCTAGGCCTCATTATGAATTCAAATGAAGGCGGACTCAGATCATAATATAGGCCTAAAGTAGGCTATTGTTCTCTCTCTCCAAAGAATGGACATTTCTGTTGAATTCACATTTGATGCTTCTTTTAGCGCTACCACATATATTTTTTTTTTCCACACCAGGCCGCCGCTTTTAAAATCTGTGCTCGGCCGATGTAAACATGTGTTTTCAAATGAGAATAAAACGACTCACAGCATTGCTGTGACTCAAGTTCACAGCCACGCTACCGAGTGGTCAGAGGAAACAGCTCTTTCTCTCCCTAAAACTTCATTTCCAACACTTTTAGCAGGTTTTCGCCTTGATGGTGATTACGTTAATAGAATATGCCATATATCTTCAAGCAATTACTGCTCACAATGGAGACGCAGTGGACCCCCACAGCGGGAAGTTAAATACATTTCCCCCTTTCACAACAAAATTGTCTGTCATTTTTATTTAATTGACTCCCAGCGACCATCGTTTAATATTTGGGGGGACATTTTTTCTTGTTGAAAATGTTTGCACTTTCGGTCATCCGCGGTTTAATTAAACTCTAAATTTTAATTTGGGGGCTGTGTCAATGAAAATGTGATTTGGTTAGCTTTGGTTTTAAAGGTTTGTTAAAACGAAACAAAAAAATAATTATTTATTTAAAAAAAATATTTAGAAAACAAGAAAATAAAAGAACAACAGTGATGATAATAATAATAATAATAATAATAATAATAATAATAATAATAATAATAATAACTAGGACTAGTATGTCTGGAACATGTTGAGCATAAATTACTCCAATTACTAATGACAAGTTGGGTACCAAAATACCAAATTTTGTTTAACAATAAAATGTTTAAATCCAACTTTAAAATGACTTTTTTATTGCATGTTACAGCAATTAAATGTCTTTTGCGTACATTTAAAGGGCTACAGGGAGTTTTGATTCTTAATAAACAGCCAATTCAAGTCCTATAACTCTCTCCTGAAGTCATTGTTTTTGCTGCTGAGTAGTTATTCCCATGCTACCCTTTTTGACGGGTCACTGGTGAATCAATGAGCAGGTGGCAAAACGTCAGTGTAATTACATAGACGGCTTTTCCCTCCAGAATAAAAAAAGGACTGCCTCATATGCATACAAATATCTTCTTTTTAAGAGATTTGAATACAAAATCTTCACAAAAAAATCACATTTTTTCATCTACACCGGGGTCGATTTACATACACTTCATTTGAGTTGGTGAAACGAGTTGGTACGCATTATTCTCATGGTGCAGTGTCACTCCCTAATCCTGGGGCCTATAGACCTGTGGGATAAAGCAGCTGTCGAGTCCCATTATGAAGTGGAGTTGGCAGCTTGTCGAGATCCAGGCAGTCAGACGAGGTTCAATGGGAGAAAATCATTAAGTTAACACTTTCCCCTAATGTCTCCATTGTGCGTTTTCGGGGTATTGTCTTAGAGAGCTCAAATATAACGCTTCCCACCGGACTTTATTCTTAAAATGTGCGCAGTGAATTCCCATGGTCGTGCTCGGATGAGACGCGGGGCGTTGTCCAGTGTGCGTGTAATGAGTGTGAGAGCGTGTCTGTGGCTGTGTGGAGTTGTCAGACAAAAGTAAGTCACATGCAGGACAGTTTGTCCATTGCTTCAGTGTATATGAGCTCGATTATGGTACTTTTTAACTGATTATAGGGTCGGTGTAAAGTCACATAATTGCAGGTCGGCCGCTGAACTGCAGCCAGTGTGTCAACTTTGAAAACTGTTATACCAACTTATTCTGGAAAAGCACTTTAAACACTTTGTTCCATCATATTTATTCATAAATCCCGCGATTATGCGAGCAACCGCTACAAAATGTCATCAAAATGTTTTGATTTAAAACTGAACTGTGCGCTTCGTAATTCAGTGAGCACATCATTTACTTGACATTTTTGACCTCTCCCAGGTCGGATTCTGGACATCCCATGTAAAGTGTGCGGTGACCGCAGCTCAGGGAAACACTATGGTGTTTACGCCTGTGATGGCTGCTCGGGATTCTTCAAGAGGAGCATCCGCAGAAATCGGACTTATGTGTGTAAATCTGGCTCGCAGGTGAGGCCTCCTTTAAGTTTATACAAGCTCGTAACTAAATTTCCCTGCTTTTTACACGAGCCTGAATTGGCTGTGGTTAAATGCACCTACTATTTGCGGTTTTTGAAATTTGATTAAGTAGTTTTATTTATTTATTTTTAATAGAATTTCAAGCAAGGCGGGCAAACAAGCAGGCAAATAAATTATCAAATCAAGCCTAAGTGAGAAACCTGTACGCAATCATTGCCATGAATGTGGAGCAATTTCTTACATTTTCCAAATAAAGTTAGCACCCTGCACAGAATTTGTCTCATCCTTTATTCTTTATATCCCCTATGTGTCTGATTTTCATCCACAAAACATACCAAGCGTTTTACGCGCGGAATGCACATTTTACGCGCTGATTTCTGTTTGCTTTTCTTTTTGGCGCTGAGTTAAGTCTCTCTTGATGAGCCTAATTATGTCATGCCTGGACCATTAAGTACTGGGCTAAGTGCCGCGCTGCTGTAATATATCAGGTGTAATCCAATCTAATGTGATGACTCGAAGCCGAGGATTTAGGCGGCAGAGGGCGGGATAGAGTACTTATCCTGCGGGATGAGGCCACACTGGAGCCGCAGGGGAGCACCTCCATAAGTAAAAGATAATAGTACGATCTTTCACCTGGAGATTGCCCTCCCAGGAGGATAATAGCAAGAAGCTTTTTTCCCTCTCCTGCAAGCTAAGAGAATTTTAACTAGAAGCTGTAACCCCTTTCTCTTTTTATGTCCCCCTATCCCCTCCCCTTTTCTCTCTGTACAGGGTGGTTGTCCCGTAGACAAAACTCACAGAAACCAGTGCCGAGCTTGTCGTTTGAAAAAGTGTCTGGAAGTGAACATGAATAAAGACGGTAAACGAGCTTAATTGAATTATCACTTTGAGCAAAGAAACGCCAGTACAGTAGGACAGCATTGGATTCGGGGGAGAAAAAAGTGTATAAAATCTGTTAATCAAAGCTGAAAAGAAGTTGATAATTACCTGCTCCCCGCTTGTTTTAAAGGATATCTTATTTATACCTCCTGGGAGCGCTGGTAGAAGCTCATTATTTTTTTCTTCCACGCAGAACATTTGCACTTTAAGGAGCAGCTTTCGTTCAATAAAATAAACCCGGGATTGCTCCTGGAGAATGCAATTAACGATCCTGATAAATAAGCAGTTTGCTCTCTTTCACACTGCCTTCCTACTGTCCCGCTCCACAGCCGTTCAGCACGAGAGGGGGCCACGAACATCTACAATTCGCAAACAGGTCGCTCTGTATTTCCGGGGCCACAAAGAGGTGAATGGCTCCTCGGCACATTTCCCCGGATCCTCCCTACCCGGTCCTCCTTTTTTCACCACTGTCACCCAGCTGGAGCCGCACAACTTGGAGATGAGCACAGTAGCCACTACACCGGAAAGACAGGCCATCGTGGGTCTAGCACAGCCAACTCCTAAGGTAGATTTTTATTTTAAGATTATGCAATTTAATAGCTACAACGTACACTTTCTTCAAAGAGTTTTAGACCTTCACGTAGAGAATGAGAGCATAGAAGTCAATCATTTCTTGGCTCTCGTGTCGCAGTCCATGCATAGTTTTACATTTAATCATTTCTAGATGTAGAATTCCTTAAAATGTTAGATGTTTGTATTTCTTCCAAACCGTTATTGTGCGATTAATTAGTAAACATTTTTTTCTTTTTTTTAACACAAGGGTTAGAAGTTGAAATTCCTCTCCAGATATAAAAGCCTGTAAGACCCACAAATCCGCCAATTAGATTTCTCACTGTAAATCCACCACAAGCAACACTAATCATTATAAAACTGGGTGCTGGGGGCTTGGAATTCGACCTTTGTTGTTCACTGTTTTCCGACCTGCGTTTCTTTCTGACATAAACAATGACAACATTTTCATTTTCCCTCTCTGCAGTATCCCCACGAGGTCAGTGGCACCCCCATGTATCTGTACGAGGTGGCTACGGAATCTGTGTGCGAGTCAGCTGCGCGTCTTCTCTTCATGAGCATCAAGTGGGCAAAAAGTGTCCCCGCGTTCTCCACCCTCCCTTTATCTGATCAGGTAGCCACGATTTGGACTCATTCTCCAAATGAATGATGCTTAAACATGATCCCAAAACAGGCCATTAGCGCCCTGTGGGGTTTGAAATGGTGAACAGCTGCCAATTAAGTATTTGGTCCGCAGACAGACGCTTTAAATTAATTAAATTAATGTCATGAATTTGATAGTATCGATTTGAAAACTGCATATCTAATAATTCCCAACCAAGCCCTAAAACCTGCACACAACATGGAAAAATAAGTAGGAATTAATCTTGTGTTGTTATTTTTACCATTCAAAAAGTTTCAAATACTTTGAATGGTTTAATTGTTGCATGTTGTGCACAGTTTAACACTTAAAATACCCCCTTACAGCTGATTCTGTTGGAGGACGCTTGGAGGGAATTATTTGTTCTGGGCATCGCGCAGTGGGCCATTCCCGTGGACTCCACAACTCTTCTCGCTGTTTCTGGTATATGCAAAGCACGAGATAATTTTAAGTGAAGAGCGAGCAACTGTAGTCGTCGTGCGTAATGAAACTTTTCTTCACATTTATCCAAAGGGATGAACACTGAAAACACGGAGTCTCAGCGGATGAACAAGATTATGTCTGAGATTCAAGCGCTTCAAGAGGTGGTCACCAGATTCAGACAGATGCGCCTTGACGCGACCGAGTTCGCCTGCTTGAAATGTATCGTGACATTCAAAGCTGGTGAGTACCTCGCAAATTACTGCCCGAATGTTTGACACAGTGTAAAGACTCTTACCGGAAATAACCATATTTACCAAAGCAAACCTCAACTTTACCTGCTGCATAAAACTACAGTCAATCTGGAAAGACACAAGATAATATATGACATGTCATTACAGCAGTGTCATGTCAGCAGATTTCTAACAGCTATAGTGATGCCTCTTGTCTTACAGTTCCTACGCATGGAAGCACAGAATTAAGAAGTTTCCGCAACGCCAGCGCTATTGCTGCTCTGCAAGATGAAGCCCAGCTCACTCTCAACAGTTATATACACACCAGGTAAAAGAGATCTATCTATCTATCTATCTATCTATCTATCTATCTATCTATCTATCTGGCGATCGTGGCTCAAGAGTTGGCAGTTGCCTCTGTCAGTGCGCCCCAGGGCAGTTGTGGCGGTAGCTTGCCATCACCAGTGTGTGAATGGGTGGATGGCTGAATGTAGTGTAAAGCGCTTTGGGGTCCATAGGGACTAAGTAAAGCGCTATACAGGCCATTATCTATCTATCTATCTATCTATCTATCTATCTATCCATCCTAAGATAAAGCATGCTTTACGCACGTGTCAACTGGCTATAGTCTGCCAGCTTCATTATAAAGTTAATGAGGCAATAAGCCTCCTGTAATTGTGCAGGTGCACCAGATGAAGCTCGTATTCAAGCTAAGTAGGAGCTATTTGTCACAGGTGTGCGGTAATTGGACAGGCTGCAACAGACAGTCTGCAAATGGAACCGGACAAAAAGGCTGTTTTTGACACCAGTTGTGTTTCAGGTACCCGACTCAGCCGTGTCGTTTTGGTAAGCTCCTCCTGCTGCTGCCGGCCCTCCGCTCTGTCAGCCCGTCCACCATAGAGGAGGTGTTCTTCAAAAAGACCATCGGCAACGTTCCCATCACCAGGCTCCTGTCCGATATGTACAAATCCAGCGATATATGAATTCTCACCATCTGCCGGGGCGCGTGAGGAGGGGGGAAAAAAAGACTGGAGGCCCACGAGGAGACCCACTGAACAATCAACACAGACTGTCAAATCATAGCACGTGTAGCCACGGCACAAAATCTCTTACGGGCTGTCTTAATACAGCCTATTTAGGCTTAGGCTCCATTGAACACATCTGGATCACAACTTTAGCCTGTTAACAGTTGCTCTAGTCAAGGATTAGCATGTACCTTTCATTAGAGACCTGCCTGTCTGATTCTGAAAACTGCAATATCTTGTGGCCAAAACAGCTTGCAGCGTTTAAATGTCGCCTTAAGGCTCTGGAGAGCACCTGCCAAGCACGTTTCCTAAAGAAACGCTGTACATTAAGACTTTTTTTGTTTTGATTTTTTCCGAGTGTCTATGAGACCAATGAGCTTGACGACCAATTCACCATTTTATTTCTGTGTTCAATCCCAACGGAGGAAACCAAAAAAAAAGAACAAGAAGCATCCGGGGGGGAGATGCGAGTCGCTGTTCCTCAATTCGGTGCTGAAACCAAATGCACGGATGAGGCGTCAGCTCCATGAAGCATTGCGGAGGACTCTTTAAAAAGGATGCACTATCTACCCCCCACCCCCTTTGACTGTAAAACTACATTCATCTGAAAAATGGTGTCTGTATTTAAATGGCTGTCCCGTTTGTTTGGTGTGTCCTGTTTGAGGCGCAGCATAAAAAAAAGAAAAGAAAACGCTTAAGGTCGACTTTTTGAAGTTAGACACTAACACTGGATAAAATCTTATTCAGCACTTGGAAATGTTTTTGTGGCCTGTAATGTTTTTATTCTGTTGTAAAAACAAAAAAGCAAAAAAAACCCATAAAATTTTTAATGGAGTTATAACTATTTAGAGTTGTAACCAAGAGAATAAAAGACACTGAATTAAACGGTTTTCATATAACATGACCTAGATGCTTATAGTATAGTTTTACTATAGATGCTTATAGTAAAACTACCAGCTGGAGCCCTGGCATCATAGCAAACAGTGGTGTTGGTTTCATATCTAATTACAGTGACACTTTATAAGGATGTAGAGCTCATACTAAATTATTAAACACTAATGCATGCATCTTGATTTAATGCAGGATTTCTTGTGAACACCTGAAGCTCATCCGTAATAACCAACTCTGTGTTCGTTCATTTGATTTGTTAGTGCTTTATCAAGTAATGAATAACATATATTATTTTACATTTTTTCTTTGCCACCAAATGAGATTTGTATTACATAAAATGGTTCATTTGGGATTAATCTCTCCAAAATCAGAGCAGTGCTTGCTCTCACAGGACATATGAAGCTGCAATCAAACCCCATGTTCAAATTCAAAAGTTTTACATGGAACTGCACGGGTCAAAAGTCCTCACATCTTATATGTGCAGCATGTGGGAGGCATTGTGCTTTAAAAAAAAAATAAATGTACAGATATGTTATTATTATGAAAAAGGTCAGACCTTACAAATAGTCCTGAAGGCAAGAAGAAATGGCTTTTTACTTTTGTGGTGGCACATGTGATACAAAAGTAAAGAAAAAAAAAAGCTTCTGTATCTTGCATTCATTAAGCTTAGTGACCTGGCCCAAATACATCTTGTACTAATTCAAGCTTAATCTGTCACAAGTCATAGACTGCACCATTTGTGTCTTTAGCATGGTTCACCTATAGAAGTAACTCTAGTGTAAGTCCAAACTCAGGGCTGTCTTTGAACAGCTATAGTCCTTATACATGTTGTACAGTATTTATTAAACAGGTACAATAAAGTTAGGATGACTGCACTGGTCCTGACTGACTGTCCAAAGCGGGTAGCGAGACAGGCAAACGGCCCGAAGCGACAACAAATGCACTCACACGTGGAGACGTTTCACCTATTTTATTGGAAAATATTCAAAATAAACAAAAATGGCACAGCAGTATACAAATCTCAAAATGCATATAGCCAGTAGAAATACTGCAGTTCCCTCTGTGTAAATCTCTTGCTAGAAAATCATTTGTGATAATTGGGCAGGTGCTGGTCAATATACACACACGCACACATACGCACGCCTCCTTTTTCGGAGAAGAACACCTAAGTGTGATTTGAAAGTCAACCCCCGTCGTTGCATGTGTGTTTTTTGTGTTTAGTTGGTAGGTCGGTGGTGAGCAACATGCCGTACTGGACGAGAAACGCTGTGGGTCATTACGAGAGCTTTGCATATACAGAACACTCATTCAATGTTACTATATAAATGAATATATTTAAGACATAGCTAAATGATAAATACATTAATATATCCATGTTAGTGGCATTTCCAAACAAAGAGAAATTGCTATAAATTACTTTCAACCACAGTTACGTGTCGAACATTCTTGACTCTGATTAGAAGGTGAAAACAAACACGGATCAGGATAACTAAACTAAAAGAGGCAGTGAATTATATAATTTTTCTGGGCGGAGGGGGTGGGGTGGGAGATATTGTCATTAAAATGTTTGTTTGAGAGAAACCTGGAGCAGTGAAAAGAGCTTTGGGTTGTTGGGCCAAGCGAGGCTGAGCAGGGCTGAGAGAGACCAGGCCAAGCAGAGCCATCCATTTATTTATTTATTTATTTTTTCTTTCCCTCAGGCTTGCCTGACTTTGGATGGGGTGTAGTTCTTGTCAACAGACTCATCCTGTAGAAACATGTGCAGGCATCGCTCATTCTGAGCTAGAGGGTGACCGGC